CTGCCTTATATGGTCTGGTACCCCTGTTATTCAATTTAGGGTTCTTGGCAAAATCCAAAGAAGAATTGACAATTCAATCGATCCTAACCTGGCTTCTCGACTTCAGTCACTTTCTCACCGACGGGATATGGCTTCGCTCTGTCTTTTCTACAAATATTTATTAAAATAAATGAAAAAAATTCCAGTTTTGTTTAAATACTTGTTTTTGCTGGTAATATGTCGAATCTCTCTTAGTATTTGTTTTTATAAATTTTTCTAAAATCTCAACTTTCGTTTTGAATAATCCTGTGTATGTATGTATGTATGTTTGCGTGGGTGGGTTAATTTTAGTGGATAACCCTTTGTTATTAAACAGTATATTTATTTATTTTCGTCTAAACAGACCAGATCTAACGACGGTTTCTCTTACCATGGGAATCCTGGGTATGACGATAAACTACGCCCAGCAGCAAGGCCTCTGATCAGGAAGTTTTGAGGAGCGTGGAACCACCACTTAATTGTTGGTGTTCCCAGGTCCACTCTGACTAGGGGTGGTAGCACCTGTTAGGGTCCCAGCTATGGGCAAATAGCTAACCCCCAAACTGGTGTCAAAGTACTATGAAAGTGTAAAAATAGGTTTTAATACCATCAATACATTTTTGTAAGAAATTTTTACCAGCAATAAAATTTTTGAGAAAATTATCATTACCAACAATACATTTTTGGAAAAAATATCAAAATTGCAATAAATATCTTTAATAACAGATTGATGTTGATATGCCGTAAAACAAATCAAACGAAACTTAGACTGGTTGAAAAAACAAGCCATTAATCACAGTCTGCCTAACTATTAAAACCTAGAGGAAAAAACAACAAAATAAAACATAGACCTATATCATTCCGATAGTCAGACAATCCCATCAGCTTTTTTTGTAGAACTCGACACTAATATGCTACAGTCTGAGTTTATAAGCGCTACACTACACGAATATGTTGACTATAAATTTTCTACTAATTCTTTTATATGCCATCCACCATTCAGGACGTAGGCGATCATAGCTCTCCACCATTTCCCGTCTCTTGCAGCTCATACTAACTTTTGTATTTTCGCTATGTCTCCCGATCGTTATTCTGCCAACCATTTACACGAGCTTGTTAAGATATTTTATGCTCAATTTTTCACTGTCTCCTGCCTTCAATATATCCTGTGAGTGTCAAATTTTCCAAGCAGTCTTTTCTCATTATGTACCTTAGAAATTTCAACTCTCTCTTTTGATATTAAGTGTAAATGTTTTTTTAGTTTCCATTTTATCTAAAACATCAACATTGCTCACGTGTTTTGTCCATCATATTCTAAGTATCCTTCTGTAGGATCATATTTCTATTATTTGAAAAGTCTTCTTCATTTGTGTGGAGGTTGTTACGCATTCAGTGCCAGGACTGCTATTGCATAACTGTTAAGTATTCTTTAATTTAGAATTAGTGGTCCAAAAACCGTTAAACGCGAACCTTTTCGTATATAAGTATATAAGTATATAAGTATATCAAAATAATTCTTTTTAATACCTTATTTCCTTATTTACTTTATTTGGACTATTGTCCTCATCTTTGTCGCCATATTTATTACAACATTTCGGCCGTTGTCCGCTCCGGCCTTCTTCAGGTAGTTGGAATGTCGAACTGAACCCTTTATTTCGCTCACTGTGGTAGACTCTTCTAGATCTACGTTCCATGTTTAATGGATCCCAGTTATCAGTTGTCTCCGGTTAATTCACCACTGAAAGTTCTCAGCTGCCTTAACCGGGTATTGAACGGCCGAGACGTTGTGTAAAATATGGTAACAAAGATGAGGTCAATAGTCCGAATAATGTAAATAATGTACATAATACCTCATCTCAGAAATATAGACAGATACTGAAGAGCCGAAACATTGTGATAAATATGGCAACAAAGATGAGGACAATAGTCCGAATAATGTAAATAATGTACATAATACCTCATCTCAGCAATATAGACAGATACTGAAGAGCCGAAACATTGTGATAAATATGGCAACAAAGATGAGGACAATAATCCGAATAATGTAAATAATGTACATAATACCTCATCTCAGAAATATAGACAGATACTGAAGAGCCGAAACATTGTGATAAATATGGCAACAAAGATGAGGACAATAGTCCGAATAATGTAAATAATGTACATAATACCTCATCTCAGCAATATAGACAGATACTGAAGAGCCGAAACATTGTGATAAATATGGCAACAAAGATGAGGACAATAATCCGAATAATGTAAATAATGTACATAATACCCCATCTCAGAAATATAGACAGATACTGAAGAGCCGAAACATTGTGATAAATATGGCAACAAAGATGAGGACAATAGTCCGAATAATGTAAATAATGTACATAATTTATTTCCTGCCGTATTTTCTTTCCCATAAAATCGAAAAAATCTGTGTAATATATCTGGTTGTCTTGGGAAGAGAAGGCACTGGAGTATTGTTATCTCTTCAGACGGACAACTAAACCAATTTATTCAATACATTGAACACTTGATAAGCCCTAATCAATTATATCAACGTGTTATATAGCAAGAAATAGGTGTGACGTCTACTTCTTTCAAAATCAGAAAAATGTTAGAATATTCTGCTGAAATTACTGACCGCAGAGGCCATTTAATTATTACCACCTAATTAAAATATAGCTGTATTTCGTAAATTACATAAACATTATTCTAAAACCAAAAGGGTTACGGGATTTTTAAATCATTTTACTTCTCCTGGGACAGACCATTTTTTAATTTTTTTTTTCTACCTGGTAATAAGATGAAACTACATAAAATAAAATTATGATAAAGCCCTACCCTGTCTGGTCAAAATTAAATTCCATTATTTTCAGTAATTAACGGACTTTGATGTTTTCGTGAGATATTTTTATAGTCTTTTTCATTATCAGCATATCGAAAAATAAAAGATGAAAGATTATTTAATGAACTTGTGGGAAAATGAGGGTGGGATATTGATTTGTTAACCTCGTTTGGTGTGATCGATTTTGTGAAATAGAAAACTATCTATCTATCTATCTATCTATCTATCTATCTATCTCAGTCTGTTCATATCTATCTATCTATCTCATGTCAGAACTTTAAAATCTATCTATCTATCTATCTATCTATCTATCTATCTATCTATCTATCTATCTATCTAAATCTGTTCATATTTATCTGTCTGTTCATTATCTATCTATGTATCTAAATTTATTCATATATATCTATATAAGTATGTCACCACCTAAACATGTCCATGTCTAAGTCTGTCCATATCTATCTATCTATCTATCTATCTATCTATCTATCTATCTATCTATCTATCTATCTATGTCTGTTCATATCTATATTTTTCTTTACCCTTGTGAATATCCATCTATCTGTTTTTTTCTAACTCTATATCTTTGGTTCTGTGAATTAGTCTATCTACGGTTACCTTTTTTTCTTTCTCTTCCCCTTTTGTGTCACTGTTCATATCTCATTGACCAATTTGTGTTCAAAGTAGTATTTGATATTTATTATAAAATATAAAATATTAAAATCCGATATTAATTATAGCTTTTTTCTTAACACATTATGCTATTTTCTGACCCTGCTTTGCCCGTTACGTAGGTTAATTTAAGTTCCCTTCTCTCATCTATGTTCTTTTCTTGCTTTTGAAATCTCTTGTATGTGCCAAAATCTACAAGCCCTCTTTCTTCATTACTCATCTCAGAAAATTCATGTGTTTCTATTCTAAGTAAAAGTGTCTTTAAGGCTTCCTCGTTGCTCACACGTTTCGTCCATGTTATAGCGTATAACTAGCAGCATGGCCCGTGCTTGATTCAAAAATCGTATGACTCATACAGCAATCGCTATCACTTGATACCGTACAAACTGATGCAAAATGATCAATTGTTTCTGGATATTTATCACAGAATCTGCATTTTGGCTAACACAATTTGTTAGTTTTTATTATTATAACTAGCAGCATGGCCCGGCGTTGCTCGTGCTTGATTTAAAAATCGTACGACTCAGCAATCGCTATCACTTGACTTAAAATATTTTTGCCCTTTCTTGCCTTTAAATGAGTGCCCTTTGCCGTGCTGATGTTGCTACATGCCTTACTTCTTGCCTATCTCACACTGCGGATTTTTTCTAAACTCTATACTAAACATTAAATCTGTTACGAAAAAGAACTAAACAAAATGAACACAAAACGATCAGCTTTAAAAAAGGACTCGTAACTGGAAAAACCGAATGAAAAAAAGAATGTTAACAACAAATACTTTTTCACACCCAACCCAGTTCTGCAGAATAAGAATCAACGTTGAGTTTAAGCAAGCGAACGAGCCAATTGGAGTAAAGTGCCATGCAGATTTAAATATTTCCCCCTTGTGACGAATGCAGCTGTCGATTTTTTTTTGTATGCTAGCATGCTAGTTAACATTCGTGTCAGTCAGCTGTTGGCTTTCACGCTGGCCAATAGAATCTTCTTGCCTATTCGTGGCAGCCAGCTATTGGCTCTCACTCTGGCCAGTAGAAAATGGCCGCAAACTACATGAAAACTGCCGTAGAAGCATGAAAAAATCGATTATTTCCACTGTTGATGGGAGTTGGGAAATTCAAATTCGGTCTTGACCTTCCCGCTGACTTGGAGCATGTGCATGTAAATTTTGGTGCAAATCCGTCGAAAATTGCGGCCGTGCATTCGTTACACAGACACACACACGCGTGTGCGCACGCGCGCGCGCGCACACACACACACACACATACACACACACACATCCTTCCTTTTATAGATAGAGATTATATTTCTGTTATCTCCAGTCTCGCCTAAGGCTTACGGCAATATCACATTAAAATACCGGTTCTTATACAATCATCGAAGTTAAGCAACATCGAACTTGGTTATTAACTATATGGGTGACCGCTTGGGAACAATTCCTGTAAGCTTGGATGTGCGGGTAGTATAATAGGCTTAGGTTATATCACGGTGAAATACCGGTTCTCGTACGATCACGGAAGTTAAGCAACGTCAAGCCTGGTCAGTACCGAGATGATGACCACTTGGGAATACTAGGTGCAGATAGTGTAATGGATAACAGCTCGTAATTTAAAATTAGAGATCCGAGTTCCAATTTAAGTTGGGTTCGCTATAAAGGCAGGAATCCAGCTATGGGATTATTAGTAGGACGTATCAGTAAATCATATTAGAGAAAAAAATATCGTGCAATCTAAAAAAATATCCTTTTATTTTAATCAAAAGTTTGATACGACGTAAAACTAGTTAATTATTTTAATGTCTTCTTCATTTGTGAAGAGATTGTAAAAAAATTCACAGGAGGAGTGATATTAAAAAACAGCACAATATTACTTGCCTTGAAAATCAGCATTTACGTTTTTTACCTCTGATTGAACCACAACTGATAAATTTTATATTAATTGTAACATATATATATATATATATATATAGAGAGAGAGAGAGTCTAGAAGAAACCTCAACAGAAAGCACTGGACGCCCGTTTTATTTGGGACTCATCAGCAGTGCGCATCCACTACCGAGAATTGAAACCCAGACAGTTACATTGACAGGCAAACGTCATACCAACTGTACTAACAAGCCTCGCTGACGAAGAGGTGGCGAGCTAGACTCGATATTGCGCCGCTCGTTCACAAATTCCGTGGTGGAACTCATCCAAGTTTCTTTATCCATAGGACTGTGCTTCCGAGCGCTACGACTACCATCACCAATATATATATATATATATATATATATATATATATATATATATGAAATTTTGCATCGCACCGCCCTATTATGAGAATAATTGGATATAACATCCTGGTTATGAAGAACTTCCTGTTTTCAAAATAATGACTCTTTTATTTTTGCTTCACATCAATCTTTTGAACCGATAAGAATTTGGTAAATACTTCAGACATGACGTTGACTTTACCTAGGCTTGAACATTAACTTCCGGTGGATAAATTGCAAAAAAAAAAAAAATAAATAAATAAAAAAAAAAAAATCGTCGCTGTCCGCTCAGCTCGTACATCAAATTAAAGAGAATAAGACAAAATTCGTACCGTTCTTTTTGAAGAAATTCCAACATTCTACATGTAATTCTTTTTTCGCTCTTATCTTCGTTCCTCTGTCAACAATTTCGACATTCATCCAGTAGCAAGGCTCCCTAAAGAACAAACGCCGTCCGTCATTTTATTTCGCAAAACAAAACAATCCCATCTACAAAAAAAGAAAAAAAAATCTCCCGCTTCCTTAGTTTTCGCAAACTTATCTCTTTTTAAAAAAATATTCTTTTGTTCGGTTATTTACCAGAATGACAAACTTTCTATTTCTTTTTCTTTTTTTTTTTTTGGTTCCTGTCAAAACTGCCTTCGTCAAAACGTCTTTTGATAAGTGTCACTAACACTCGGAAAAAGAATTTTCTCCATGTAATCAATGTAAAATTTGCACTGTTACATTGTGCAAAAGCTGTTGTTATCAAATCCATGCCGATAAAAAAAAATAATATGAGATATAGATTCTTTATTTTTCAGTTTTATTGCCAAAACTTTCCTTTCTATCATTTGTGATGCCAGCCAGCAAGGTTACCATATATTGTTCTATTCTTGCGTAACACTATATTAATATTGGTCAAGCTTTCTCAAGAAGTAAAATATAAAAACAAAATAAACAGCGACAAACACGATTTGCCTCGTGGCAAAAATAATTGCATATTCTCCACTTGTTGCCATTCGATTAAAGTAAAGATTTTGAATGATAAATTCGATTCACTTACTCCATTTTGGTGATCGAAATTTCTAGACAACTGTCACTCAGCTGTCCTCATGCCAAACTTATGCCCGCTTCGTGCAACTTTTTCTTCTTATAAAACTGCTATACGCCTATTTACTGCAACCACTGGATCCAGAGTTATTTTTAAATTAAAAAAATTTTCAAATAAGGAGACAGCAGAGCAACTATTAGCATGGAAGCTGGAATGGGCGAGCCGGGTTCAAATCCTCGCTTAGTCACTTGGGTTCACTTTTGCATAAATGTGATTGGAAAAGACATTGATACATCTCTTTAAGATTTTGAAAGAAAATATTCAGCGACATAGTTAATTGAATGAAATGTTCTGCTTCAATAAATAGAACAAAGCTGAATGATTTTACACTTTATATCGGGGACAACGTAAGTCCTAGGTATGACGATAAACTAAATCCGGCAGAGATGCCTCTGATCGGGATATTGTGATTCTTAACTGGAATAAATATGGTGACAAAGAAGAGGACAATATTCCCAATAATGTAAATAGTGAAAAAAAAACATTTAAGTTTGTTTACATTTACATTGTTTACATTGGGCAGATCAGTACGAAAATTTCAGTGATTGCACAGCTCAGTGTTGCCAACATTGTATGAAAATTTTGTGTGAATTGATTGGACGGTTTTTGAAATATTAGAAAAAAAGTTATCTCGATAATAATTTGGCACGCACTGTATGTGCACAAACATGTATATGCGCAAAAGCTGAGTATTATCTACCATGTATTCAATTGTGAAAGCAGAATAACATATCATATTCCAAGCTCCCAAGAATATTAGATTTCGGCATTAAATGACCAATAAGCAGTTGATATATCGTTCAATAAACAAATCAATCAATAAGTCAGATACTAGACCTGCCCGGTTCAATTACATCTACGCGGCCTTGTGGGTGATGAATTATATCCCATCCTACAAGGCCTTTCCAATATACGAATTGTTCCAATCCGATCGCTTCTCTGTCGCTATTTCCATGGAAATAGAACTATGCTTATTTCCATGGAAACGGAGCTACACTCTTTAGTCCCATCTATTCTAAACTTCACAGCCGCCATTTCGCATGCGCTGAGACGAAGCAATCTCATTACCTTCATGTTCCATTAGTAAGGAGGAAGTTCTGCTTGGAAAGATTCTTCCCATGAGCCCACCACTTTGTGAAACCAACTTCCAAGAAAATGCTTTCCCGACCTTTATAATCTTAACCTCATCAATTCTAGGGTTAATCGTAATCTTCTCCACATTTCCTAGTGCTTTGCGTTTTTTCTTCTTACCTTTACAGCACATGCAACAACCTCCTTCAGTATCCCTCGACCTGTTGAGCCTAGTATAGGGTGGGAAATATTATTTATAAATAGGTTTCATAATATAACGAATTAAATTTATATAAAATTTATGTTAATAATTGAAATCGAAAGTTGTTTTTTTTTTCCTTCATTTGTTTTGATTCAGATGTAGAATTCTCGTATTAGGTGTATTTTCTTTTGGCCTTTATATTTAATTACCCCTGGCCCAAATTTGGTTCAACGAGTTTTGTAATTTTATACTTACTCTTTATTTTTCGATTTTATATTTTTTGATTGAATGAAGATAAAACTGTGTTTGACTTTTCAACGTTTAATAGGTTTTACAACACTATTTTTCATTTTGTTTTTGATCTAATTAAATATTTTATTTATATTATATATGTAATTTCTTTATTTTCATTTAAAAAGTGATTTATCGATTTCTAAGATATTTTATATAAACATTTCCGAGTTCGAATATGAAAAACGTCGCTACCTTGGTATTACTGTTTCCCGCGGGTATTTTAAACGTTAGAGCTGAAGGGCCAGTTACAGTTCAAATTCATTCTTCTTCGATTACGACATAATATTTTTTTGCTTTTTATTTAACGATTAACGATATATATATATATATATATATATATATATATATATATATATATATATATAATAAACTAAATAAAAAGCAAAATAATGATAATATAAATATAATAACTTCATCCACCTGTAAAAAAAAAAAGATTAAAAATAATGGATGCTTTAATAATAAAAAAGAAAAAGCCAACTCTTAACAATATTAACTACGAACAAGGCCACGATGTGTTAACCGTATTCAGAAATTAAAAACATATCTCCAACACAATAAAAAATACACATAATGCACACATTCAATTAAGCTAAAGGTATAGCCGAAATCTCTCGGAACTATAAAAAGTTTGGACAGTTGTTACATAATCGTGTTCCAGAAAAGAAAGCTCTTGTTCGAAAACAACAAAATTTAAACATATATATATATATATATATATATATATATATATATATATATATATATATTGTGTGTGTGTTTGTCATTTATATATATATATATATATATATATATATATATATATATATATTGTGTGTGTATGTAATTTATATATATATATATATAGTCATCCACAAAAACACACACATATATATATATATTTATGTGTGTGTGTCTGTGTATATATATATATATATATATATATATATATATATATATGTATATGCTCGTTATTTATTGGAAAGCGCTCAATAACAGTGATAGGGCTAACATATTCAGTCGTATGGCTATGAGTTTGTGACCCAGGGTTTCACGCTTTTAGCGATCAAATGAGAAACGTGAAACCCAGAGTTACAAACTCATATCCATACGACTGAATATATATATATATATATATATATATATATATATATATATATATATAATATTGATAACAAGAAGACGGAGACTTTGATTATCCATTTCGAGTATAAGTTATTTCATGAACACCGAGTTGTTCATCTCTTCAAATCAAAATCTCCTTCTTAAATCTTAAGGATGAGATTTCCATCTGAAGAGTTGAACACCTCGGTGTTCCCGAAATGTTATAATCGAAATGGATAAATAAAGATTGCATTCTTCCTTATTATCATTATAATGCTCTCTAATCTAATTTGAGCTCTCCCTGGATTTATATCCTCTTCGGAATTATCCGTTCCAGTCACAAACTGGTAAGACTGATATATATATATATATATATATATATATATATAAGTATCAAAAATCTTGGTAATCCGTATGGATAATCCCAAGGAGGATGAAATCCGGAGATCGCAATGTTAAGTCAAAGCGAATAATTTCATTTAAAGAAAAGACAGGCCACTTTAAGATTAGATTAGTTATAATTTATTTCACCAGATATTTTATTTTTCTATGGCTCAATTTTATATAGGGGCCTCCAGAATTATAT